AGGTACGTCTATTAATTTGATCAATAAGTATGCAAATCTAACATATAAACTCTCCGACATCTCGGCTGACTGATATAGAAATGCCTTTTTTAAACCATTTTACTTTTATAGAGTTAAACAATGTTAAATATTACGGGAGGAATTAAAGGCGTAGTAAATTCGATTTTTTTTAAGTACAAAGTGTACTTGAACTAAAACTGTACATAAAAAATACACTACCGACAACAGACTCACTGCATAAACCGGATCCGGATCCGAATTGATGGTTTTTGAAGACCTGCTACTGGCGATAGACGCCTGAGAGAGACAAATGGTGCCTGTTGCTTTGTGTGTAATTATATGTATAGTTTCTGGTATCCTTTGTGAAAATGTTACATACACATCCATTAAAAATAGCGGATCTTTTTTGTGGAACACTAGAAATCATAAACTTAACCGAAGCATCATTCGGTCAATTTTTATCTGGTGTTTCAGAATTATGAAAATCGAATCTGAAGAAACTCGGATTTAAATCCGAAGGTCGAATCCGGACCTAAACTTTCGGCATATTCCCTAGATCGATCATTCACATCATACCACTACAGCACTGTAGCACAAATTTTAAACCTGATAATCTATAAAATTACCACATCTTATTAAGTAAGACTTTAAATAATGGATAACTGTGAATTGATCTTAAATTTTGTAACCCAAGGACCCACCGTTGGTAACCAGAGTATTAGATCCAAACTTAAGGAAGTACGCGGAAGCTGGAAAGAAAAAAATAGAGTTCGTAAGTCTTTGAAAAAAGAAATTAAGGGAAATAATGATGCGTCTCTTATATCCACTAACGTCGAGGCAAGAAGCAAAGCTAATGTCCTACCAGAAAAACAAAATTCCAAAAAACCATCTAATCAAACTAATAAATATTCAAATAATGGTGGTGGTAACGAAACACCTAATCAATTTAATAAACATTTAAATAGCGATTCAAATAGTAAACCACAAATAATATCATCAATTTTCACTTGTAATCCTGAAATTGTTGATATTCATGAAAACAAAGTATCAACAAGGAATACTGCACATTACGAACCAAGCAATGCTCCAATTAATGACGTTTCATTTATTGGCATGGGCTTGAATGTTGACCTCATCACCAACGTGAAAGATAAACTTGGAGTCGAAAAGCCAACCAATGTCCAAAAAAAAGTCATCCCAATTTTATTATCTTCAATTCAAAATAATGATGACACTAGCAATAAAGATATAGATATTGTCTTACAAGCAGAAACCGGTTCCGGTAAAACCCTAGCATACTTGCTACCAATCATACATCGTTTGATTCGTATCACTACAAACCTTCAGAATGCCAATCCGAAAACAAGATCACCCTTATCACGCTCTATTGGCACTCTTGCTATAATTTTAACTCCTACACGAGAATTGGCGAAACAAATTCTTTCAGTTCTGGAGTCTTTGGTAAATCTACCACCATCAAGACTTAGTGATCGGCATCTGACTCATTGGATAGTTCCTGGTTCCGTTATAGGTGGTGAAAAAAAGCAATCAGAGAAAGCAAGGCTTCGTAAAGGGATAAATATTTTGGTCTGTACACCTGGTAGATTATTAGATCATTTATCAAATACAAAATCATTTGTTGTAGACCATTTGCGTTGGCTAGTACTCGATGAAGCCGATCGTCTTTTGGAATTAGGATTCGAAGAAACTCTTCAGAAAATCTTGAAAATTTTAGATGATCGAAAAGAAAGTGTGAATCAATTAAAAAATAATTTATTGACTTCTCCAATTTGGCCAAAAAAACGTCAGACTATTCTTTGCTCAGCTACGCTTAAAGATGATGTTAAGCGATTAGTTGGTTATAGTTTAAGTAATCCTGTATATGTTAGAGGAAATGATGTTTCTAAAGGTCAAATGTATTCAACTCCTAATCAGTTGAAGCAGACCTATGTGATAACTCCCGCAAAATTACGATTAGTAACTCTGACTGCAATCTTGAAATCAATATTCAATGTTGAAAATAATAAAAATGCAATGAACCATAAGGTGATTGTTTTTTTTTCATGTTGTGACACTGTAGATTTTCATTTCGATCTGTTTGTAAATTCCGAAAATTTTCAAAAAAACAAGACAAGTAATATTTCGGAAAATGTTATTAAATTGAATATGGACACTGATGAAGAATATCATAGAGAATCGAATTCTAAATCGAAGGAACTACGCTTTTTGAGCACGGTGATTCCAAAAGTAAGGCTTTTTAAATTACATGGTGATTTATTGCAACGAGATCGTACAACAACATTTGATGAATTCAGCAAGTCAAAATCTGGAATACTGTTTTGCACGGATGTTGCGGCGCGTGGTCTAGATCTTCCTAATGTAGCAAAAATCATTCAATATGATCCACCAACAGATTTAAAGGATTATGTTCATCGCGTTGGAAGAACTGCAAGATTAGGAAAAAAAGGAGATGCTATATTGTTTTTGTTACCAAGTGAGATCGAGTATATTCATGTGTTAAAATCACATGAAATACATGCTGAACCTGTACAAGTAGAAACATTATTGGAAAACCTTGTTCCTATAAATGAAAATAAGGATTATAAAGTAATAGCTACGGATATTCAGTTAGGATTTGAAAATTATGTTTATTCTGATACCAAGGTAATAGAAATGAATTTAAGCTCTAGCTCATTTATTGGCTAAATTTACTAACACAAAAAATTGATTTTTAGTGTATTATGTTAGCACGAAAAGCATATTCATCGTTTATACGTTCGTATGCTACACACACAGCATCAGAAAAACATATTTTCCATGTGAAAAAATTGCATCTTGGTCATATTGCAAAGGGGTTTGGACTTCGAGAAGCACCATCAAATATTAATTCCAGCAATTCCAAAACTGATCTTAATTCATCTAACAGTAAAAATATGAAAATGAAGAAAACAAATGAAAAGAGGTTGGATGCTAAACTAAGAAATTTATCGTTGAAGAGGATGGCAGAGGAGGATGCTAACAATGAATTCACAATTGGAAGTTATAGTTCTCTATTGGGACCTACTACAAAACGGAAAAGAAAGAGTGATCAAATTAAGTAATTTTAAAATGTTTGATAGGCCTATACGAATTATATACTGTATAAGTTAATTAAATCATGATTTTCAAATATGCAATTAAGAACTCAAAAATTATTACAGTAAACTTTTTAAGTAATCTTTTTGCTTGAAATGATTATTATAGTTTACTTATACCCTGATTACTACATTAAGATCATAGAATATAAATTGGATTCTATAACTATTACATATTAGCTAATAATACATGAAGAATTTAGACTAATACTTAATATATGTTGAGGACAGTGTTGTCACTTTACTATGTCCAGTGGCTGTAAACTACTGGACTGGACTATATTGGACTTATTAAATTATTATGTCCAGTAGTCCAGTGGCGCAGTACTGGAATATGTCCAATGTAGTCCAATTGACAACCCTGGTTGAGGATTATGCTAAATTTAGTGCTTTAATTGAAAAATAAGGATCTTATTAAAAGTTATTGTACCATTTTTTGGATACTAATATTTTCACACCCCGTATCGATAGGTTGTTAAAAAGCTTGTCGAATCCGGTTCTTGAGTCGACTTCACATGAACTTTTTAGAACCAACTCAAGCCTATATCTTTTGTTTTGGAAGGGTATGTGATTGGCTAATTTACATCTCCCGGACTAGGGCTCATCATTTTCTGCGGCAACAGACCCAAATTCTGCATGCGTTACCCATCCATTTAGGAAATCAAGTAGAAATATGCGATCACGTCACAAATATGTAACTTTAGTTTATTGTATAATTTAAAATAAATAAAATCGTACGTGTCCCTTAATCTGTAGGCTTTTTCAGGAAAATTTGCCTGGAAAATTTTTATAAATATACCCATGATTTGGACTTAATAAGATCAGGTACAGGTGATCCCCGTTAATGTCAACCTTGTTAATATCAACCTAAGCCATAAGACAAATTTTAGAAATTTTTATATATCAAATTTCCCTTATAAATATCAACTTTAATATGATTTCTCATTAATATCACTATCAACATGATTTAAAATCAATTCAAATAGATTGATATTAATGAGGGTTATCTGTATAACATAAAATCAAAACAATGGTTTTTTATGTGATTAGGGTTAGCATTAGATAAGGTTAAGATAGATATAAAAAATGGTCTTATAGTAAAACCTTGCAAAGAATTTTTTTGTTAAGACTCTAAAGGTAGTTGTATATATAGTGGGGGACAGCTAAAGATACTGTATTCATTTTTTCATGATGCTCCAAATTTTAGAAAAATTTTTATGATAAAAATGACAAAAAATAAATTTTTAACCAATCAAAAATTTTAAATTATAACTACTTTTTTAAAATTAAAAATTTTGAAAATCACTTTTTTCAAATTTGTTATTTAAATAAAGAAATAATTTAGTTGTCACCAATGGTGACAGTTACTGGATTGCAATTGGCCAACCAGATTATATTATGGAATCAAAACAAATGCTAAAGTTAATTGTTGTTAGAGTCAGGGTGAGAGTTGAATTAGGATTGAAATAGGATAAGTAGTATAGTAAAATTTTGCAAGAAATTTTTTTTATTAGAATATAAAAGGTGGTTTCATAAGTAAAATCTTGAACCATAGCAGATTTTTGAAAATTTTCAATGTTTTTTTTTGTTTTCGAATCACACAAACGTTACACCTGATCTCGTGATGTGATTAGCTAATTGCAACTCAGTACTGTCACCACCAGCAACAAATAAATTCGCCTTTAAATAAAAAACAACAAATTTGAAAGAGGGATTTTTATTTTATTTTATTTTAAAAAAGTTCTAACAATTTAAAAAAATTGAATATTTTTTTTTTTATTAACTAGTCTCTTTGGTATAAGAATTTTTATTCAAGTATACTGGGTGGGAAGCTCATAATAGAATTTCAATTATAGTGCTCCTAGGTCTGATCTGGGTCTGATCTAAGTCTAGTTTGGGATTAGACCAGACTCAGATTCTAAATTTTGCCAATTTCAAACTTTAGACTTAGACTCAATTGTAAGTTTGGTTCGGGTTTAGTTCGAAGTCTGCAGACTAGTCTGAGTTTAAATATATTTATATGTATTTTTTAGTGCTAAATAAATTTACTTAATATATGAAGTTAGAATTATTTAGTAAATTTTTTGAGAAATATAAGATTTTATAGAATTTTATTAATAAAATTTTACAAAATCTTATAATTCTCAAGATTTTTCTAATTAATTCTAACTTTATATATTAACTAAATTTATTTAGCATTTAAAAATACATTAAACCAGCAGAGTTATTTTTATTTTACTTAAAATTTTGTTCGAAAATGCTTAATTTTGAATTTTTTGATCAAAAATCCAAAATTAAGCATCTTATTTTCAAATTTTAAGTAAAATAAAAATAACTCTGCTGGTTTAATATATTTTTATATTTTTAACAAATTTAATTAGTATATAAAGTTAGAATTAATTAGTAAATTTTTGAGAATCATGATTTTATAGAATTTTATTAATAAAATTTTACAAAATCTTATGTTTCTTAAAAGTTTACTAATTTAGTCTAATTTTATATACTAAGTAAATTTATTCAGCACATAGAAATATATTAAACCAGTTAAGTTATTTTTATTCTATTTAAAATTTGGAGTAAAAATACTTAATTTTAGATTTTTTAATCAAAAATCTAAAATTAAGCATTTTTGCTCCAAATTTTAAATACAATAAAAATAACTTACCAGTTTAATAGATTTTTAGATACTAAACAAATTTAGTTAATATATAAAGTTAGAATTAATTAGTAAAATTTTATTAATAAAATTCTATAAAATCTTAATATTTTCAAAACTTTATTAATTAATTTAATTTACTAATTACTTTTAACTTTATGCACTAACTAAATTTGTTTAGCACCTAAAAATATATTAAACCAACAGAGTTATTTTTATTGTACTTAAAATTTGGAGCAAAGATATTTAATTTTAAATTTTTTAATCAAAAATTCAAAATTAAGCATCTTTGCTTAAAATTTTAAGTAAATAAAAATAACTTTGTTGGTTTAATGTATTTTTAGGTGCTAAACAAATTTAGTTAGTGCATAAAGTTAGAAGTAATTAGTAAATTTTTGAAAAACATAAGATTTTATAAAATTTTATTAATAAAATTTTATAAAATTTTATGTTTCTCAAAACTTTTTAATTAATTCTAACTTCATGCACTAATTAAATTTGTTCAGCATCTAAAAATACATATAAATATATTCAAACTTAGACTAGTCTACAAACTTCAAACCAAACCCAAACCAAACCAAACCAAACTCAGACTTAACTAAAAAGTCTCAATATAAAAGTCTGGTTCGAGTCTGGTTTATAGAAGCACTACCTAATTATATTAAAGAATACAACTAGCCACATATACAACTTTTGGTTGTTATTTAAATAGTTCATATATAGATAACTATACATTATAGGTTCTATACTAGCTGCTATATCTATAACCTAACTAGATGATTATCTATTTAAACTCTCTGTAATATATACAACCTTTTGTGTTACTGGAATATCTCTATTACTTAAGAAGTTTCAGATGTATACTGTAATATAACAATACAGGGTCTTAGTAAAGCTATACTACTTGACTTAACATATAAGAAGGTTAAAAAATGTGTTTGCAAACAAGAAAAGAATAAAATAAGAAAGAAAACTAAAAGAGACTTTTAAGTAAAACAATAACCAAAAATAAAGAAAAGAGCCGATGGCTCTAATCCTAAAACACAATAGAATACTCAAGAAAAAAGGAGAAGAGGCGATGGTTCAACTCAATATACCAAAAATAAATACTCAAAGAAGAAAAAAGAGGTGATGGCTCAACTTTAAATACACAATAAAAATACAATAAAAGCTTTATTAAACACAATAAAAAG